CCATATTAAACAAATACATCCTAAGGTTACCCGGGTCCACGTTTTGGGGCCACGCCCCCTTTATATATCAAAATATTTTTTACCCTGTGACCATCCCTGGAAGATATCCAGTGCGTGTGTAAAATTTGGTTACGATCGGCTTATTCGTTTAGGAGCCAAGTGTGTCTATAGGTACATACATAATTTGAATTTTATATATATAGATGTATATAAATGGAGAACACTAACTGCTGCTGCTTAAGTTGTATGTATGTACATAAGTATATTTGGGTGGTCCTTAAAATCAAATTAACGATTTTTTTTCCAGTCTCACCCCCACAATCAGTAATACCACGGTTACAGATATCACATAAAAATTTTGGTCCCGATTGGTGGCGGTTAAGACGTTTTCATAGGGTAATCTGAACTTTGCCCCTTGTGCGACACGCCTTAATCGGGTCAAAAATTTATTTGTACTATCTTCGACTATAGTAGCTTAGACGTAGGGGTTAAGGCTTAGGAAACCTGATACAAAAATATTCTTTCTACATTTAAGGACTACCCTAATGCACAGACACACATATGTACAAATATATCTGTATTAGTATAGAAAAAGGTCGAAAAACTCCATGAATGAAATGGACTTTATGTATATTTTTATATATTTTCTATTACACCGTGCGACAAAAACCACAAATTTTTTAAACACACGAAAAAGTCACTATATTCACAAACCTAGGAGCCAAATATAGTATAACTGCGTTTTTAATTTTTCTCTCTGACGTCAGTATTTTTTTTTTTAAGGACTTTGAAATTTCCAGGATTGATTGAATAAGAGTCATTTAAAAGATTTGGTGCATTGTAGAGTAACGATATGAGTATCAGTTAAAAGGAAAAATTCTGTAGAATTGAACAAAAAATAAAATTTTTTGTTGCACCAGGACGAATAAATGTTGAAAATGTCCTTTTAAAACTTTATCCTTGAAAATTTCCTCTATCTATTTTTGAAAAAAATATATGTCAAGGATAATATGTAAACTACTACATCCTCGAATTTCGTCCTTCTAACTTTATTAGTTTAAGATAAAATTGAGATATGGGCCTTCGAAGTTCGAAATAGGATCTTTGGTAAAAAATTATTTTTTATTATTATATGTAAATAACTAAAAAACTTAAAATACAGTCGTAGATCGCCTTTTTCTCTTATTTAAATGGTTTATAACTTTTTTTTTTGCAAACTTATATTACACGTGTTATAAGGGGGCAAAGGTTGGGTTTTCGAAAAATTAAGAACCTTATATTTCAAACAATTTTGAACTGATTTTTAAAAAGTTGGCATCGTTATAAACGTAATTAGGCCCCCTTATTATCTTCTGATATGCATATTTATATACTTTGTATGTAAAAATTTGAGAAAAAATATTTAAAAGGAAAAAATACCTTTTTTTAATATTTTAAACAAACAAATTTCTAACCGATTTCTAAAAGATTGATGTCGTTGTTAACGCAATCAAATTTTCTTTCTTCTGATAGGCGTATTTGTATACTTCGTACATAAAAATTTGAGAAAAAAAAAAGGAAAAAATACCTTTTTTTATAAAAAAAAAAAATAACAAAGAAATTACCAACCGATTTTTAAGAATTTGGTATCGTTGTAAAGGCGATTGAGCTCCCTTTCTTCTGGTGTGCATATTTGTATGCTTCGAGTATAATAATTTGAGAAAAAACACTTGTAAGCAAAAAATACCTTTTTTTTTATAAAGAAAAATATTTGAAACAAAAAAATTACTAACCGATTTTTAAAAAATTGGTATCGTAAAGGCTACCAGAAAACTTATACTTTCTTAAACCCAAAAATTTCGTTTTATATACAAAAAAAATTTAACTCTGGGAATTAACTCTGCCACTTAATCCGAATCAACTGCAATCAATTCGCAAGATAATTCCGAATTAACTAGTTGATCCGGATCAACGCTACCGTCTGCTTAAGCTTTAAGGCATGCGTGCCTCGGCAGAAATAGCACCATGCATTCCGATTTCATGTAGCTCCATCCAACGATGCTTCGACAAATCTCACTTTATGCTATACAGAAGTGTGTGTGAAATAATAAACATATCACAATGTAATTGTAAACACTTCCATCCATATATTTAAAAAGAAGCTATAATTATTATCTTATTTGAATATGTAATTAAATATGTACATACACACGTGTTGCATTTTAATGTGTGTTAAAAACAAGTCAACAAATAATAAAAAAAGTAAATTGGGAAAAAAAAAACAAATCAAAATCGGCTTCTATAAAATAAATGCGGCTTAAAAACTTAAAGTTACATTTTTTTGTTATAAACGCCTTTCCAACACACTAAAATAATCTTACACGCTTGACCACACGATAGTGATAGCCATCATCGTGTAGAGCAGCTGACTCCTCTCCTGGACCTTCAGCCTCCACTACACCCGCTTCTAGTGGCGGCAAGTAGGCGCGTTCAGGCTCAACATCAATTATTTGCTCGGGTTCGGGCTCAGGCTGTTGCTCTTGCTCGGCTTCTGGTTCCGGCTCAGCTTCAGGAGCTGCCGATTCAACGACCACCTCTTCCACAGCCTCTGGCTCTTGGGGCGCTGGCGCTTCGGGTGCCGCATCTGGTTCGGCCACTTTCACCAAAGGTGAAAAACCTAAATCAGGCAACACAGCAGGTTTTCTATAATGGTAACCATCATCAGCTAGAACAGCAGTCTCCTCAGGCGCTGCTGCTTCTGTTGTGGTGGTGGTGATTGGTGCTTCGGTGGTGGTTGGCGCTTCGGTGGTAGTTGGTGCTTCTGTGGTGGTTGGCGCTTCAGTTTCGGGCGCTTCCGTTTCGACTGCTTCAGTTGTGGGCGCTTCACGCACAAGATTTTCATTCACAGGCGGCAAATATTCATTGGAAATTTTCAATTGAGGCACTTCCGGTTGTGGTACATCCAATTGTGGTGGCAAGTAGTGGCTTGATACACGCGCAGCAGGTAATGGTGGCAGATAGCCGAGATTCAGATGGGAGACATCACGACGTTGACGTAGGCGGAGTTTGCGTACGGCGCGGTACTCGTAGCCATTTTCACCAAATACAGCTGTCTCCGGCACTGCTTCGGTGACGGCTTCGACGACTTCACTTTCTTCAACAGCATTCGCTTCACTGGCATCGGGGGAGGTTTCTTTTGCTGCGGCGATAGATGCTGCCTCCACTTCCTCAGCAGTTGGTTGCGCTGCTTGGGCTTCTGGCGCTGGCTCAACAGGTGGCAGGTAGATGCTTTGCGGCGCTGCAGCGTCTGCGACAGCTGTGGGAGGCAAATACACATCTACTGGTGGCGCTAAAATTTCAGAGACATCGCGGATGAGTCGGTGCTGCTGTTGAAAGGGGAGCGCTGCAGCCGCAGCCACAAGGCACAAGACGACAATGGCGATTTTCTAAAAGTAAACAAATTAAATGGTAAATATTACAAAAAATTCAAAGAACTGTTGACAGAATTTCAATTGTATTGACTTTAAAGCATTTACGTGTAAAAAAATTCAAGTTTTTGTAAAAATTGCATTTTTTAGCAATTACCATTTTTGTTATTTCCAAATTAAATTTTACTATTAACACTGTTAATAAATAATATTTCTCCGCTTGGCTGTGGCCCACTGAACTATATGCAAACGAATGATGTTGATGTTGAAATTTAATTTTCTATTTATATGAAAAATTAACGCTTGAACGCCACTATCCAAAAATAGAAATAAAAAAATTTGAAATCAATAAACGAAATATCGAACTCTCTGGCTACGATCCACATTAAACTCTACTCATAATGTGCCGACTGCGCGCGATCTCTTGCCAATCACTCTGCTACTCTGCAGCATTCCATAGCCGCTAATCATATTTCACACTTTGCTCTGCGTATGAAAGCTTACAAAAAAAAAGCACTCAGGCCCTTGTACCAATTGAAAGCTGTGGAGAGCGTCAGCGGTATGAAGAGAACAAACAAAAGTTGTATGCGTGGTTTACGCATGCGCAAGACGCAAAGTGTTCACAAAATCAGCCAACAATAAATACCAGCATGCTAGCCAAAGACAACTTACTGTGCTCTTCGTCGCATATCAAATACATTGGTGCCCATGGACTCTTATGTACAGGTATTTCACTACGCTTGCGGGTCTTTGTACTTTCGAGCAGCAGCACTGCAAATGTGCCCGCAATAGCAAAGACAACAACAACAACAACGCACATCGAATGACAAGCGGCAAGGCATAAGTACTTCTGCGGATACCAAAGCCATGCATTAATTGTCTGATGGCCCAGCCTTTCATAACCATTCAGCATCAATTATCAGCTATCAGCTGTCTTCCGCTTTAATCTATGGCGCACTTTTTCGGCTTTGTTATATCGCTTTGACAAGCGTGTAATGGCGTGCATTGTGACCTTTAATTGTGACAATACAAAAAAGCTTGGTTTCGGTTATGATTACGCTTATTATTTTTGTCAAGTAATGCGTGGCCACGGTCAAGTACTTCATTTGATACTTTATGTTGACCCAGTGCAATGCAGATTGTGCAGCGGCAGAGTTATAATTTTGGTAAAAAAAAAATAGCTTTTAATAGACTCTTAATTGCTGTAATGCCACTCAGGCGCATGCGTGACTGAAAATATTGTTGCTGCATATCGAAAGAATATTTTATTCTAAGCATTAAATTAATTGCTATTATTTGTTACATAAATGCGTTACAGGCTAACCTAATATTCGCGGCTTGCGTTTTGGTACGCATGCCGTCGAATTTGTTTTTTTGCGTCACCCGAAATTGACTTGCATGCGTTTGCATTTGATTTCATTGAGCGAAACGTCAAATCAAAATGTCACGCAGAACAAAAATTGGAAATTGAGTTAGCTTCATACGCACGCCGTTCAATTTCGGTTGATCTCATACAAGTTGCATGTGCATGAGAAATTTTTGACAATAAATTGGCGGCGTGCGTGAATATTAGGTTAGCCTGTTAGGAAGTATCAAAGAGGTGTCGAAATTTCCAAGTTTTTAACCGACTTCAAAAAAAGGAGAAGGTTACCAATTCAGCGGAAAATTTTTTATTTTTTTCATGTATGTTACCGCATAACTTTAGAAAGGTAGAGTCCCACAGGTGCTCCCATACCAATCATTGGATCATGAAAAAACTAACGGTACTCCTAAATTTTTATATGAGAATTGAAGTCGGTTTTGTTTTTTGCTTAAAAATTACTTGTTTTTGTTATGTTTGTTTGTTTGTTTTCATTTTATAAGTGTCTTCGCTGGCAGTAATTTAAATTTTTTGGCATCTCTCAGACGAGTATTGTTTATAAATATTTGTTAATGAAACTGTCAATATTTAATTAGATATTAACTCGCAGGTGTTGGTAGATAGTTAACGTTTGAGATGATGCTCAAAGTGAAACTGATATTAATACACTACAGTGGTTAGAGATAATTAGATTTATGCTGGTATTCAATAAGTCAGTCTTATCCCAAGTAACTAAATTTGAGACTGTAAATTAGTGACTTTTTTGTGACAGCTTAGGCGTTGTTGACTCCTTACAACTTCTCATCCAAGTCATGACTTCCTATTGCCAGCTTTAAAAAATATATTAGCTGAAGAAAAATAGATTGTAATAAATAAAATGGAAACGTTAGCCTTATACTTTTCTGAACAGAAAATTATTAGTAATTTTCGTCTTTTATTTTTGGGATATTCATAAAAGTATGGTTATGATTTTTGTGTACTCTTGAACCTATGCAAATCCGGGAAAATTCCTATCAAATCCCAAAAATGTCTAATATAACGTCGAAAAATCCGCAAAGGTCCCATAAAATCCAGAAAAGCTGCAAAACATCCCAAAATATCCCAGAACACTCTGAAAAATTCCAAAAAGCTCCCGAAAAAAAGCCAAAAATTCCGGTAAAATTAATAGCGAAGATTCGGGAGAATTTCTGGCAAAAAATGTAACGATAGCGCAAAAAGTTCGCGAAAATCTTTAAAGGTCTGAAAGACGCGTAAAGTTAGGCGGAAAGTTGTCAGGCTTAAAAAAATAAAATTTAAAAATGACTGGCTGTTCACTGGTGTAAAAAATATCAAGCAATTTTTGTGTTTTATTTTATTCTATAGCCGGTTTCACGAAAGCAATTTAAGTAAAATTTATTTTTTTTGGAATTTAATATGAAAACTTACAGAAAGGAAAAATCGTTTACACTTGATTAAATTTTGAAGTCTTCAGGACATCATATAACATTTTTTTTTTTAGAATGTCTGTTTTATTTCATTATCTACCCTTTAAAAAATTTTCTTAGTTTATGAGTATAAAATGAATCCTTCTTTCGTCATAAATATGATTATGCGCCCAGTCAACAAGACGTGACTCATTTCGAAATCTTTTGGTGTCATAACATCTAAGTTAAACAAAAGTAACAAAGTTCATGTACAAGTTAAAGTTGATTGATAATTACTCGCGAGTCGGTTTGGATGTGTTAATGAAAATAAATATGTGTTAGTTACGCCGACATGACTCTGAATGACTCAACTGTGTGTAGTCGAATGGCGAGTCAACACCTAATCAGATGACTCGCGTGTCAGACCCACCGTCCATGGCACCTATAAGACTCAGCAAAAGAGTCATATCTCAGACTCTAATATGACTCCTAACTTGAACTTGTGTTAGTTAGCCCTTCTAAGAAGGGAAAAATGCTCCCACCAGTTAACACACCCAAGATAAACCCATTGAGATTTTGGTCAAAATTAACAAAAAAAAAGTTTCTGGGCTAAGTTCTACACACTCAGTTTTGATGCAACTCCAGATCCAGCATTAAAAGCTCAGGTAGCGTATGACTTGAAATTGGATTAAATTTTCTAAATGAGGCAAACTCGAGTTTCCCTCCTAAAATGATATTTCACTTTATAAGCAAAATCAAAGCAAAATTGTATAATTGGTGTAGGAAAAATCGATTTTCCCATGATTAACTTAAAAGTTGTGGTTCATCAGATGCATGACTTCACCTTATTCACTTTTGTGAAACAAGACGGGTGCAAAGGCACAATGCTATCAGCCTTATCAGGGGTTTAACTTTCGCCCGAAATTGTCCACTTATCGCTTATGTGTATTTCATACGGGCGGATGAAAGAAAAAAATCAGGGGACTTCGTTTTCGGGCGAAACTCATGATAAATTGTCGGAGCTCTGATAAAAGTAAGCGAGTGGAAGGATTTTATAAAAGCATCAACAATAATATATATGGGCCATTCCATACAAAATTTACGCCTCAATATTTTTTTTGTGTGAAATAGATTTTTTTAACTTCCTTATAGAAAAAAGAAGAAATCTATTTTTTATTTCATCATAATATTCCAAAATCTCGAAAAAAGAATCCAAAATTTTAAACTCACAAAGAAGTATGATTTTTTCAATTTTTTCAGTTAATAAACTATTTGTCAGAAAAAATCAGTTAAGTAATCAAAATCTGCGTAATTACCTAAATAAGTACTTTTTGCATTAAAAAATTGCATTTTTTTTTAACTTTTTTTTGTTAATTATACACCTACTGTTTGATTTTTGTTTTTTTTTTTTGGTAATCTAAATAGTTGTCAAAGCACTGTAAAAATTTGAGAATAGAAAAACCAAAACTGCAGCTGTTTCAGCGCACAGGCGTGCACTGCCAGTGCTGCTTTATGCACGCAGGCATGAAAAACTGGTAACTTATACACGGCTGGTTTTTCCATTCTCAAATTTTTACAGTGGACTCAATAAAGTTTTACAACTATTAAGATTGCAAAAAAAAACGAAAATCAAACAGTGTATAGTTATTAAAGAAAAAAGTTAAAAAAATACAAATTTTAAATGCAAAAGATTATTTATTTAAATCTATTCCACACTCTAATGCGGAATTTGATTACTTAGCGGATTTTTACTTCTCTGTGAGCTCAAAATTTCGGAGATTTTTTTCGAGATTTTCGAACATCATGATTAAATAAAGAAATGTTTTTTTTTCGATAAAGGATGATAAAAAAATATTTCACACCAAAAAAAACATATTAAGGTGTAAATTTTGTTTGACCCATATGCTAGTTATTGTGTTCTAAAATCTTTTAAACTGGACAAAATAAAAAATCTCATCGATTTTGATTTTGATAGTAAGATTTGGTGGCCTTCTGAGTGGTGACAAGTATTACGCATTATTTTTTTATTGACCGAAAAATCATGTAAAACAATATGTACTTTCTAAATTGCGGTGCCTATAGCCTCAGCCAACTCACAAAATGGGGACTGACTCATAAAACTGTTTCAAAAGAAATTGTATACCTTTTTTCGCTAATATAAGCCCACTGTGCATACGTTGCGGTAACTTCTTATTCTGCTTACTCTTTTACCAAATTTCATTCAACGCACATTTCGAATATTTGTACAAGTCAATGTCAAGTACAATAAACGTTATGCTGCGTTGTCGAAATTCAATGTCAATAGCATTGGTTCAGACAAAAAGAAGAAAGATGAAAAAATATGGAAGTGTATCAAAACTAACGAAAAAATACGCAACCAAACCGGCATAAAGTGCGATAGAATATCAATACGACACGTGCTCAAACCAAAGAAGTGGTATGCAAACGTCAGAAGAAAAAGAAACACTTGAGAAAACGAGCATAAAAATTTAACGAAAGTGTTTACACAATAAATTTTGGATACTGCTACACGTATGTATCTATGCATTTTATGTATGTATTTATGTACTATTAACATTAGGGTATATCAAAAAGAAATCGGTTTTTCCAACGGAATTACAAATTTTTTTATATTCTTAGACTTGCGCCAAAATATTTCGGAAACAAAATTAAGATTTGGGTGGGCTGATACAAATTTGTATGCAGACCTTTTAAGCTTAAACTTTTCTGTGATCTGAGCTGATGTTTTAGAAAAAAAATAATTTTAAACACGATTTTTTTTTTTTTGAGAAAACTCGATTTTTGGTGGTATTTTCAAATAGGCCGAGCACATGCAAATCTGAATATTTTTCCAAAATACTTTGGCGGAGGTCTTTAAATATAAAAAATTCTATTTTTTTTTATGGAGAATGATGCACCCTAATATAGATATGTATGTAGTAGGCATGCATGTATTAATACTATAGTTATTATATCTTATTTTTTCTTCAAATACGGTTGTTGGTGGTTAACGCATACATACGTAAAATATTAAAAACAAAAATAAAAATTTAATTATTAAACATTCATTATCCAACGACAAACTAACTACTCTTCGAAAAATGCTTACTCACTGATATTTTTCCGCTATAGGCATGTGTATGTTAAAAT